CTGCACCTGGGCAGAGCGCTGCAGCACACGTACTGTAGATCTTGTGCTTCCCAGGAATGCTGAATTTATCATGTATTTCATGCACAGCATGCACGTGCACATTTCCATATGGTAAATCCATGCTCTCTACTGCATCTGAAGGTAAAAACATCTGGAAGCAGATGGGTACCACCAGAACAACTCATGCAATCTATTCCTACCATCTTTCGTAAGTGTTTTGCAGAAGTAGGCAACAAGACTCTTGTGGGGTTGAATTCTTCTGGTGAATGGAGCCCACTTGTAGCTACCTCCTTTCCAAAGAGCTGTCTGGTCCTTTCTTCCTCCTGTCATCGCATGTGCTTTCACTGCTATAGCAATTCTGTGTTTGGGACAGATGACAGGGAGGGGGCCAGGGCAGGATATCTCTGGGCAAGATGGTGACCAAATGTGGGTTGTTGCCCTGAGTTTGCTCTTTGCTTGTGTCTGAGAAGCTCTTGAAAACAGGGTGACTGGATGGAGGCCGCTAACAAGATAAAATCATCCTGGAGTGTTTGCTGTAACCTGAGGACTGTTGGTTAGAAATCCTTGTTTTTAATAGGAGTCTTTTTCTCTCTATGCATGTTTATGCAAAATAATTCCTTTTCTGGCAATGATTGCTTGTTGCACCATTTGCTACACTGTTGCCTGTTGTTTGATTTCTTTTTCACTCATATTCGACCTTTTTCCTGGTATTTGGATTACTGCTGTTTTTTCTTGGTTCAGTTGATACTTGTCTCTATTTTAGGTCTGATGTGTATAAGTCTTATTTTTTCATCCTAGTGTTTTCAGTTTTTATAGCTCTTTTCTGTTACATCAAAAGTCAACAGTTTTATTAAGTTCCAACTGTTGTAGCATATGTAGTCTGGCTTCATTATCTCCTGTTGCCTTAAACTGCAATCTCTCAAAAAAATTTACCAACAAGCATGCCAAATGTGCATGAGGGGTTGAATGATGTAGATCTGTGGGTGTGATTCGGATACACTGAAAATACCCCTCTCATTTTTAGGGATTAGTGAATACAATTTGTGTGACTGTACTGATGCCGACAGGTCAGGTGCCTGTATGTGACTCGTCACCCTAAGCTCCTCAGCCAGTCAGTGGAGATCTACTTAGTGTAACCACGAGCATTTTTAAGCAGGAGCCATCTCATCTCACCGTGCATACCTGCTCTAGACAGATGAATTATGCTGACAACTTCACTGAATGCTGACTATATATGTGTATGCATGTGTGCGCACACATACACACTATGTTGAGTATAAAGGGAGTGACTAGCTTGTGTGACTACATGGGCTGTGCATGTGAAGTTAGGTAAGATGAATCCTACTCAAACATCCAAAATGTTAGTTAAAGCTTTGTCAATCCCTGCTAGGTCCAGACAACATAGGAGGTAGTCTTTGCCTGCTATCCCTGCTCAGAACCTTCACTCCGATTTTGCTGCTTTCTTTATCTACTGCTCCCACTAAAGGCTCTGCATTGCCTCAAGTCTGGTCTGTGAGTCTTGAGATCAGCTGCTTGTCTTTATTTTTCTGCAAATTGCATTATGGTTCTGGGTTGAAAATACAAGTACTATATTAGATAGGACAGAGTGGGCCCTTAGTGCCCAAGGACATAGCATGTGCCTCACAATTCTTTTTGCATGAAGAGACAAAAAATATCAGAGGGGGGATAAGCTGCACTGGTGCTACGGTTTTGAGGTAGTACTGCAAAAATCAATTAAATAATTGTTTAAAAGAGGCAGAAACAAAATTGAAAGATATTCCTCTAAGTCTTTCCCCTCCACTCCCCTTTTTTTTTTTTTCAGTCCAGATGGGTTCACTGGCAATATTTATAGCACAGTCCAGAAACAGCTGCAGTGGTATAGCTGAAGGGGCAGTATGTTGTAGCAAGAAACGTGAGTAAGGCTGAATGTGGAAAGGTATCTCTCAGGCCAGCCTTGCTTCTACAGGGAATGTTTTATGTGAAACTAGGCTGTGGACAGCGCACAGATACTGGTGAACTAGTTATTAACACTCAGGAAAAGCATCTGAGATTTCCCAGGCTCAAAGAAGAATGTAGTAGACTTCAGAAACTGTTAAGAGATGTGTGGCAAGAGTGAGCAAAGATAAAGATATGGAAGTATTTCTGTGCAAGCCGTGGCACAGAGTAGGATTCTTCTGCCTGAAAAGAGGGGACCAGATGGAAGCATGGAAAATACAAATAGGGGGTTAAGGTTTGTTTTCTCTTCTTCCATAAGAATTAGGTGGCATCAAATAGATGTAGCAATTGGCAAGTTTAAAACAAAACAATTATTCTTTTTTTGCAGTGAATAATTAACCCTTAAGACACATTGCTGCAAGATGATGTCAGTATAAAACTTTCTGGTTCAGACAGACACGTTCATGAGAGAAGAAATAGGCTAGGTCTTAAAGGTCTGGGAGAGTAACTCAGAAGTATCAGTATATTCTTGTCCTATTCTTACGCTTTTCCCTATGTGTATAAGCCCTGTTGGGCAGGTGAACCTGTGGTCTGACCCAGCACAGCTGCTATTTTCTTCAGTGAAAAAAATAGCTGCTGGCAATTGCGTGTTATTCTGATATCTATGCTAACATAGCTGTTCAAACAAATGTTTTAAGTTAGTAGTTCACCAGCAGTCTGGTCGTTAAGCTTTGTCAATATTTGGTTTAGTAAATAATTTTTACATTTGGCTACATTTGGTTTTATGTGCCCTGGAGAATTATGATGATTGAGTAAAATGATTGATACTTACAGGAACAAGTCTAAATTCATGATGAAATAACAGTGAAGCATTCTAGATAACTGGTTTTGTGCGGCTGCTTCATGTTTCCTCAACTTGTGTGATGATTAATTTGAGGCCAAGACTTCCTTTTGAATTTCTTCTAAGTAGCAGATGGACCTCTTCATAAGATTGCTTCTCCTACTGTGCATGCATGTGTGTGTGTATTGGTAGACAAAACCTCTAAAAACTTAGTTTCCCTGGCAAATTGAATGTTTAGAGATTCACGCTGGTTGTTGAATAATGTGATAATACCGATAGTCTCATCCTGTCTTGGGTTAAGAACGAGTATAGTGATCTGTGTTAAACATGGAGTGTTTTGGCTCAGTTCAGAGTTGTGTATGTTTCTAGTACATACACAACTGTTTTCTTGCTGCTTCCCTTTTCTCATACACTTGCTAAGGTCCCACTGGCAATCAGGGAAGTTTGCACTTGGATAAGCTAGAAACTGTAGAGGGATTTTTCAAGATCCTGTCCTTATATCTACCAGTTTAGAAAGAGGCAACTTTTTTTTAAGAGGTTGAATTATTTGGATTTTGTCTTTCCCATTCATTCTTTTTCAGCACAGTTGGAAACAGGTTGCGTGGGGGGGTGGTGGGGTGTGTGTGTGTGTTTAGGATTTTTTAAAATCAATTTTATAGAAATTCATTGTAAACCTGAACTCCAAAATAAAATAATGCATTTGCAAGGTGTGCTCTGATAGCATAATCAAGCTTCTCTTAATGAATGCTGCCACATGTATGGAACAGTAAAATTTTTTTTTTCTTCATAAAACAAGTAAAACATAGTATTTGGTTACATTAAATATACACAATTCCTTACCTTCAATGTTTATGTAACTGAGGAACTTGGAATACTGTATTTTAGTGACATGAAAGGAAGCCATACTTGTCTTCCTTAAGCATGAAGAAGGACCTCACACAACCCTCTTGCTTTTCTAGAACAGTTTTTAAGCATCTCCATAGTTATTTTGTTTGCTTTGCCCTCATTGTTTCATTTTACCTACATCTGGAGTTTTAAAAATTGTGGGTCTGCACAGCTCTGATAGGGTTCTGTAGTCAGAACTGTAGGGTAAAGTCTCTGTATGGGAAGCAGCTATAGGCTTTGCCCTTGTATGTCTCTGCATTCCTTTCAGCTGATGTATATCTGCCATTAACTCTTTCTGATGCTGTGATTGCACTTCTGTTGACTGGCAAAATTCATTTAGTGCCCTTTCTCATCAAGCTACTGAGGCACATTTTCTCTCCCCAGAGATTAATACATGACAAATGACAAACATTCTTGACACCTGTATGCTTTCTGTCCTCCTCCCTGCTATTATTCATAATAATGACTGCGTGCTATGCCTGCGTATCAGTGTTTATAAAAATGTCTCCTGGCTACTTACAGTTCTGAGTGCAGTTTGAAACTATGACTCATCTTCATATACTGTGATTCAGGTGGCTTATTGACTCCCAAAAACTGTAAAACCAACTTCTGTGTATAATTTTTATTTACAAAGTATTCTTCATTGCATTCTGTCTTCCTGATCTATGTACAGTGTTTCTGAATGACTGATACACTACTTTGGCCTTTATAAATACTGAGATGTCCACTATGCAATATAAATTCAGTTTTTATCCCCAAGTGTTTCTACTCATCAGTTTTCTGGGAATATATGTTGACCATTCTGAATGGAATCACAGTATTTGGGGTTTTTTCCAACACAATTTTAAAACGGGATAAATACTGCAAGTAGAGTTTTGAGGAATGACAGTAATTTTAATTTGAACCTGTGTTTATGCAATTATAGTACCAGAAAACAATGCATATAGTTCTGTCCTCTAAAAAAATTGGTCCGGCCCCAACCCGAAAAAAAGGGGAAAAAATTCCGAAATTGGAAAAAATGTATAATTATAGAAAACAAATGCTCAGTTATAAAATTATATTCTGAAAAGAATAAGTCATTTGCCTTTAATAAAATACTTTTTAAGAGTCTCTATACAATTATAGTACCAGAAAACAATGCATATAGTTCTGTCCTCTAACAATATTTGTTCTGTCTCCACCCTGAGAGAAGGTGTATAGATTTCTGAATTTGTACACATGTATAATTATAGAAAACAAATGCTCAGTTATAAAATTATATTCTGAAAAGAATAAGTCATTTGCCTTTAATAAAATACTTTTTAAGAGTCTCTGATAAGTATTCTTTTTTTCTTGACAGTCTGTGGTGGACGACTGGATTGAATCATATAAACAAGACAGGGACATAGCACTTCTGGATTTAATCAACTTCTTTATCCAGTGTTCAGGATGTCGAGGTACAGAACGTTGGAAACAAGTTGTATAGAATAAATCTGACAGTTATACAAACGTGTATTAGTGCAAATGCTGGTAAAAGATGTGGGAGGCACATGGATTGGTACTCCTCATATGCATGGTTTATGTAGAAATATTGTCTACGTTCAGGAATAATTTTATTTAAAGCTTGTTTGTCAAGGGCCTACCCTTTCTTTTTCTCACTTTGCTGTCATCCTAAAGTGTACAAATCCTCACAGAGACATTCTACTCGTCAGCAAAAGGAGACAAAAGATCTGTTAATCAAGGTAGGCGTATCTTTACTTCCCCTTTCTGTTTCTTCCCTTTTTTTTTTTTATTACAAGAATTAGTAGGTGTAGCTATACCTTAACTTTGCTATTTTTCTTTCTTTCTAGGAAAATGATGGGTTTTTTTTAAACTGAAGAGGAAGGAGTCAGGCTTCAGTTGACTTTGATTAGCAAGAAAGATTTCTTCTGGATGAAGCACCAATCTTATTTCTTCCTCTGTAATACTTGATCAAGTCAGCAGCAAGCGGCCTGCCTTTTATACCCTATTTAAGCAGTCTCCATTACCAGGCATGCGGCAGTCAGTCTTTCTAGCATTCTGTTGCCACACCATACCTTCTAATGAATTTTTCATGTGTTGTCTTTTTTCAGTTAACTCAGCCTTGAAAAGAGAGAAAGACAGAGCTCTGCTCTCTCTGTAGCACCCAGAACCAAACTATTTACTGTTTCCTGATGCTTCCTATAATTTGCTTTGAGTAGAATTGAAAATAACCCCCAGTTCAGAAATTCTTTTTCTTCATTTTGTAACTCATATGGGAATATACCTTTAGACATCAAATGATCTGGGTAGAAGTCCCTTTTCTTCCTTCTTAAGTATAAGGTGAAGTCCCAAGTACAATTAAAAGCATCAGAGAAAAGAAATAAGAGCTTGTCAGCAGCTTCAGCAACCCTTTTTCATAGCTTAAGGAAATAAACTTACTTTGTGGATGATAGGAAAGGCTGAAGCTCTGGAAGCATTCTGTGAAAGGGCCGAAGCTTAGGGTTTAGATTAGCAGCCTGTGTCAATGTCTGTACTGTTCACACAGATTCCCTAAAATATTTTTCAGACTTGTTTGGCAGCTTATGTGAAAGTAGTTGTATTCTGTGCTCTTTTTTAACACTCTCCTAAAGGTATATATGAAAAAAACCCCACAAGCTTCTTTCTAAGAATTTGGGCAGCATTAAACCAAAGGGATCCTTGGCCATATGTTTTTATTCTTGTTGATGGTGGAGGTATTTTGGTGGAGGCATGTCATAAATATATCTTCATTCCCCTGCTGCTCTCTAATTTCTACTTCCTTTCTTTCTCCTTGTTAGAGAAAGCAGCACTCTTATAATCTGAGAAGATTCGTATTTTTTAAATGTCTTGTTACTGACTGACACAGGCTGAATGCTCACTGCAACCATATGCTGCTGAAGCAATTGCTTCCCAGAAAAGCTTTCTGTTATTGCCTGTGAAGCAGCAGCGCTTCAAGTGGCTGATGTCATTTACTTTTTTCTTTTAATTTTTTTTTTTTTAATGGTGACTTTCTATCCATTTTCAGTACTCTGCTTTGTACCCTTAGGGATATCTCTCTGCTGAACTTTCTTTAGTAGCCTTCTGGTTCCAAACAGCAATGATAGGAGAAAGAAAGCAAAAATTACTTATCCCCTGAGTTATAGTGTGTTTGGGGGATTTATTTCTGTGTTGGAATTTTTGCAGTGGGTATAGTAACAGCTGTAAACAGGGTTAAAATCCTGGCACACAGTTCTGTTCTTCTAATTTCCAGTAACATGCCTGTTTTCTAGAATAAGTAAAAACTTTATCAGAAGAGATTTTACCCCACTTAGGGTAAAATGCATACTAAGCTGTCCTTAATGGAAATGAGTTATGGAAATCTGGGTATTTTCTGTATTCTGTGAGGAAGACCAAGTTTCTTTTCATGGGAAGGTTATGACATTTTTACTTCCCTTTAAAGATTTTGTTGACATTCTTGATTGTTTCCATTTCTGATAAATAACAGCTCCTCGTGGATCTTAATGGCTTCCTTAATATTTCTTAATTTTCTTCTTTTCAGTTTGCTCCACTAACATTGTCTCGGATTCTCCAGCCTTCTTTCCCAATATTGGATCTAAATGCTTATTGATAATACATCTAACTTTGTGATCATTAACTGGAAGGGAGGATGACAACTAGCTTGGGAAGAGTTTCCTCAGGAAACTCCAAAAGTGTTGCTAGGTTTAAAAATCTACCATTTTAATAGTGCTTAGAATTATTTTATATCTAAATATATGTAAAGTGCACTTAGCATGACATTTCTTTCAAAAGTTTTAAGCAGGTGAAGAGTGTGTGCCTATTTTCTGACTTTAATCAGAAATCATTTAGGCAACAAACTGTTTTATTTAGCAACAGGATTGACCCTGATGAAAATACCTTTCTGTTTAGAGGAACCTTGATTTTTATATATTTATCCCATTCTCTTGGGCAGTGCATACGCTTAGATGAACCTCTTAGCATCCTCCAGCTTTGCTTAGAGATGTTCCTGAAACGAGAAGTGATCTATTCTAAATATGAATAAGCAGGCATGCTATGTAAATTATTAATACTAAAAAATTGTAAAATTCATGTATTTTGCAGGCAAACTTAAAAGATCTGTGCAACTTAAAATTGAATAAATATAAACCAAATATTCAAGCATGTCTGTCCTTTTGTCAACTCTTCTGAGTATCTGTTTAATCAGTTACTTTCTACCTAATGTGTTCTGGTTCATACAGTAATGTCCATTAAAACATGAGAGATTTGGTTTTTAGCATGACTTCAGTAATCTTTCTGGATTTTTAAAGGATCGTTTGGTATAAATTAGAATTTTGTCCTATTGAACTACCAAAAGCATCTCAATTCAGTAATGATGTTTGCACGGGAGTTAAATCACCTTTCATGCCATCTTTCCACTAGTTTGCCTGCTCAATCTGTATGTTTGTTGCCTTTGCTGATTTTGATTACAAAGAAGTGAAAGTAGTTTCTTAAAGAATTTTTCCTTTATCTTGCTATTTTTTTTCTTCAAGAATAGCAACAAAAATCCCTGCCTTTCACAGTTTGTCTGTGTAGTCTTCTCCATGATGTTACATTGTATTTCCGTGACAGAAAAATGGTTAACAAGGACTGATAAATTCACCTATTCACTTTTTGTTTCCTACCCTTTTAAAATGCATTGCTGCTTCTAGAGGGAGGATCTTGTTATCAGTACCTGAGAAAGATGAAAAAGTTAGTTTTAAGATACTTTTTTCCTGGTAAAACCAGCAAATAAATGCTGTTTCCAGTCCTTGAAAAAAATAGGTTTGTTTGGTAGTAGGTATTTATTTTCCATGGTATTCACAATCTATAAAGCAGGTGGTGTTTGTATTAACCTTCTTACTTCTCTGTCAGGAACTTAATTTAGGGGTTTACGTTTTTAGATAACAGGGAGCTTTTTGAATTTAGGTTGTTGTAATGATAAACAGATTTTTCAAATAACTTTCACTTGGCTGGGGGTTGGAAGTGTATCCATACTACTGAGATTTCCGTTCCAAATGTTGTAGTTTGGTCTGTAGCATTGTGGATACAGGCATCCTTCTCTCTTGCTGAAGAGTAGCAAGTCAGTGTTCAGAGTTTTCTGGGTTTTTTTGACAGCTCTTTTCCACTGCTTTCTTCTTTGTAGGAAGACATTTTTGCCTTTTTTTTCCTTTTTTCTTTTTTTCTTTCTGCTTTTTTTTCTTTTTTCTTTTTTCTTTTTTTTTTTTCCTGAACACTTACGTAAAGCACAGCATAGTATGCCAAGATCTCTGAGCCTAGTTGCAAGCAAGCTGAAATGTCTAATCAGCAATATGCGTGCCCAGGTCCCAGAAGGATTATAACTGTGTCAGTATGATGCTGCATCTGGGCTAATTAGCTCTGCCTCTCAGACTGTGTAATTAGCTCAGGTATCATGCTCCGCTGCTATGACAACCAGGCTGTTTCCATTTCTGGAGCTCCATGGATTTAGAGCTGACTTGGGTATCTGCATTGCTGTCTGCTTTCGCCTTCTGTTGTTGATATAAAACAAACAGAAAACCTCACAAGCACTCTGACCTTTCTACATTTTAAAGGTGGAGAGCCATGCTTGTGGAATAAATTTTTTTTCTTCTAACTGGAAGCAATTAGTGGTTGAAACTCTTCAGCTGTGAAGGACAAACCAACCCATCAAGTGCATGTAAGAAAAGAAACTTTCTTTTGCAGGGAAAAAAGGTCTCTCACATAGTCGAAGAGAACTACTTGACTGCTTTCAAGTATATAGTGAAATTATTCCCATTCTTTCTCTCCCATCCTTCTCCTTCACTCTCTTTGCTGATAGGTAATCCAGAAACCTGTAAATTCTTAAGCAGATTTTCAGAAGTGGTTTGAGCACTGCTTCCACTGCTAGCCTTACCTCTATCAGACAGCTCTGAGACACCAGTTACTGACAAAACAAATCTGGTGGAACTCCCTTACTGTAAAATTCTTAGCAGTGTTGTAGCCTTCTCTGGATTGTAAGGAGCTCTCCCTTTAAGTAGTTGTGTGATTTGGCACACTGAAGTTGTTTTTAGGAGTAGTTGGTGAAGGAAGCAGTGAATTTCCTTTATATGATGTTTCTTGTATCTTATTTTTCCCCTCAAAGTCTTCACTTTATGTTCTTGTGTAGAATCAAATGTTAACGAACATAGTTAAAACTGCCACCTGTCAACCTTGATTGCTGGTGTTGTTTAGGGTTGGGTTTTTTCAATTGTGAGTAAGCAGGAATCTGTGTATGAACTTTTTGCCCAGTGCTTAAAGCGGGACATCTTTATGGAATTTTTCCTTGTGAATCAGACACTTGGGGATCCATGCTCTCTTCCAGCTTGAGCTTTGAACATGTAGTTGTTCCTCACCTATTCTAGTAAGATCCTCTGAAAAGTTCTGTGATTGAATGGTGCAAACTGAGTCA